AGCTGTGGCCCGGACCAGGTAGGTCTTCCCGTTCAGCGGCCAAGAGAACGCGGCGTCCACCTCCTCCCCTGCGGGCAGCCCCAGCTCGGCCAGCGGCCGCGCGCCGCCCTCTAGCTGCCGGTCCCGGAACACCCAGAACTGCGGGCCTGCGGGAGGGAGCCTGCTGAGCAACTGCTCCCACGCCCCGCGCGTCCCCGGGGGGCGCCCCACTCACCACTGAAGAGTAGGATTCGGCCGTCTCGGTGCCGGGTGTAGGCAGCCTGGATGACATTCACCTGGGGGGGCAGCCCCTCCCAGAAGCGGTGGAGCCTGGCCGGCCGGGGGGACACCAGCTGTCCTGAGGGCTGGAGGCGCCAGAACCAGGGGCCTGTGGGAGAAGGGATGGGCCTGGAGCATGAGGTGGCAAGTGGTCTTGTCCCCCAGGGTGTGTGGCTGGGACTTAGTGCTGGGTGGAAGGTCCATCTGGAAATCAAAGGGCCCAGTGGCTCTAGGGCAGCGGTTCTCAATCCTGGCTGCACATTAGTATCACCTGGGCATCTCTTTAAGATCCTGATTTCTGGGCCTCCTCCTCCGGAAATTCTGATTCTTTGTTAGTAACGTTGTGGCCCCACCCCATAACAAAGAAACAGAATTTCCGGAGGAGGAGGCCCAGAAATCAGGCTTTTAAAGAGACTCCCAGGTGATTCTAATGTGCAGCCAAGGTTGAGAACCATTGCTCTAGGGTGACCAGATGGCCCAGGACTTTCCTTCTATCTCCACCCCCACTTTGTTTGTTTGTGTTTCAAATACAAGCAAAAGTTTATGAGAACCATTGCTCTAGGGTGACCAGATGGCCCAGGACTTTCCTTCTACCTCCACCCCCACTTTGTTTGTGTTTCAAATACAAGCAAAAGTTTATATAGAAAGTCACACAGGTAGAAGTGAGCCCTGGGATAAGTGAGCCAGCTGGGCTGGGTGGGCTCAGGAGGCAAGTTACAGAGGGAAAAGCAGGGCTTAGGACAGTGATGGTGAACCTTTTGAGCTCGGCGTGTCAGCCTTTTGAAAAACCCTAACGCCGATACCGGTTTGGCTCAGTCGATGGAGCGTCGGCTTGCGGACTCAAAGGTCCCAGGTTCGATTCCGGTCAAGGGCATGTACCTTGGTTATGGGCACATCCCCAGTTAGGAGGTGTGCAGGAGGCAGCAAAGAAAAGAAAACCCCTAACAACTCTGGTGCCGTGTCACATATAGAAATGTTTTGATACTTGCAACCATAGTAAAACAAAGACATATTTTTGATATTTATTTTATATATTTACATGCCATTTAACAAAGAAAAATCAACCAAAAAAATGAGTTCGCGTGTCATAGGTTCGCCATCACTGGCTTAGGAGAAAAAGCAAGGATATAGCCTGGGGGAGGTAGGGGCGGAGAGGCTCAGGTGAGCTTCAAAGAGTGTCCGCTGGGGAAAGGAAGGGATTGGGGAAGGGAAGTCACTGGTGTGCTCCCCAGAGAGCCACTCCCACCCAGCTTGAAAGTCCACATCCTGGGAAACCCCACACGCCTGGTGGGTCACCCTAAGTGGGTAGGAAACCAACTCTACGGGGCCGGGGAACACCCGGAGTGACTCACCTTTAAAGAAGAAGGTTTCCCCACGGATGTTGGCGATAGCATCAAAATTGCCATCACATCGATCAGGGACAGGAAGGGAGGGGCTGAGGAGGAAAGGAGAGGTGAGGAGAAAGGGGTTAGGGCTCCTCCTCTCTGTACTTCACCTTGAGGACAGCCCTATGAGGCAGGGACTCTTACGAAGCCCTCTCACCAAAGAGGACTCCATGGGTAGGAAACTCCCCCAAGATGGCAAAGCTGGAGGAGGACTCACCTGCCTGGGGGCTGGGCAGGGGGCGGGGGAGGAGGAGCCAGGGGTTTCATTGTGGGCTCATCATATGGGGTTTTGGGTCCTTTCCCTGTAGAGAGAGTCAGAGAGATCTGTGTTCCCCGACCCTGCTGCAGAGGCCACATGGGGAGCACCCCCCCTCACCCCACACACAACTCCCTGTACCGTAGAGCTGCTGCAGGCCTTCACGGTCATCCTGGGACAGGCGGTACTTGGTGGGCTCCCCGACAGGACCCTGGTAGAAGGGCCTCATGATGGAGTCGGGCGCAGAGGAGTGGCCCAGGCCCAGTGCGTGGCCAAACTCATGAACTGCCACCGCAAACAGGTCTGTCCCCTCACCATCTGGGGAGGAAGGGAGCCTGGGCTGGAGCTGGAGCAGCCAGGAAAGGGGCAGCAAGGAAGCCCCTGGGCGTGGGGCCTGCTGGCACAGGAACAGCCAGGGGGCCCTCAGAGGTGGTCACAGTATCCTGTGCCCCAAAGCCTCCCCGAGCCACCTCATCCTTCCTGCACGAGTTTACTTATTCAGCAAATATTTTTGCTTGGCAGTGCTAGACACTGGGATACTGGGCTCAAATGACCCTTAGAACAGGTGAGGGAACGGGCAGGAGGAGTCAGCCTGGCCCAAGGAAGGCCAGCTTGCACTGATGGGGGCCTGCCCACAGAAACATGGGGGAGGGGAAGCAGGAGCCCCGGTGCACACAATTCTCTCAAGGCAGCCCCAGCCCTTGCAGTTTCCCCCTCCCAGCTCCAACCAGTGGTCTGAGGTCCGCATCCCTCGACACCCTTCCCAGTCCCACCCGCGAGGAATGCTGCTCAATCACCTTGACTTCTGCTCCCAAGACCCTCAGAATCCCACTCCCTCCCCCATGGTTCTTCCACCTCCGCTCCTCCCATCTCTGTGGGCCTTCCCCATCTCTCCCTGCCACAGCCTCCACCACTCCCCACCTCCCTGGGGTCCTGGCCTCTCCTCCCCACCACTGCAGCCTTCATCCATCTCCTCAGAACCCGCAGCCTCAGCATGCACTCTCTGACCGCAGTCTGCTGGCCTGGGCGCCCAGCCTCCCTCCCAGCCTCTCTGAGCACAGAGGCCTCTTCCTTGGGGACCCCGCCCAGGCGCCAGGAGCAAGCCTCTTTATGTTCCCAGCTGCTGGCCAGATCGCAGCTCCTCATCCATCCACAAGCTTCCTGCTGGCTCCTGCGAAGCAGGTGAGAGGCCAGAAGAGACAGAGACAGTAAGAGGGGTGAGCAGCCCCCAGGAGGCATAGATTCCCCCCCGAGGTTGATCTGCTTCCTGGACATCTTGAACTGGCATCAGCAGTGCGGAACACGGGTGAACTGGACATGGCCTCGGAACTGAGAAGCAATTTTCTCTCAGCTCCTGAAGACCACTAACTGGGGGTCTAAGAGTGAAATGTGTAAGTCATAAAAGGAGCAACAAACACTTGCCCTCATTTGCTTCCCACAGAACCTCGACCTCCAACCACATTTGCAGGCCAGGATGCCGAGGCACTGAGAGGTGAGGTTCACTGACAGCTGAAACCAAGGCCGAGTCCTCTGGCTGTGCTGTGCTGCTTTCAGCAGTGACTGCGGATGGTCTGTCCGCACTCGTATGCGCTGATGAGCCCCTATGTCCTATGTTGCCTGTGGGTTTCTGATCGCTCTGGGTCCTTTTTCTGAGAAACGAGGAAGTTGGGTGGTTTGTTGTTGTTGTTGTTGTTGTTGTCCTCACAGGAGGATATTTTTTCCATTGCTTTTCAGAGAGAGTGGAAAGGAGGGAGGGAGGGATGGAAGGATGGAGGAAGAGAGGGAGGGAGGGATGGAGACGGAGAGAGAGATGGAGAGGGAGAGAGAGATAGAAAGAGGGAGAAAGAGAGAGAGAGAGAGAAACATCGATGTCCATCGGCTGATTGCCTCCCCCACTTGCCCTACTGAGTGAACCCCGAAACCTAGGAATGTCCCCTTGACTGGGAATCCATGCTTGAGCCAACACTCTAACCACTTAGCAACACTGGCCAGGGCCAGTTAGGTGTCTTAATCAGGTAGCTCTCTTTCATCTCTCACCGCACCCACCCCTCCTCTGTCTAGCTTCTCCTTTGGCCACACCCCTTCCTTGCATTCTTCTCATGCTCTGCAGCTGGAGGAAATTACCCAACTGTGCAGATCAACCCCAGATTAGACTAGGGGGGTCCTCAACACCTCCTCTTAAACTTGCCCTGGGCCTCGGCTGGAAGCTGCTTTGCTCTCGGCCTCAGTTCCAAGCCCACAGCCCCTTAAGTTACCACCCAGGTCCAGCCCCCAACTCTTAGATGACAAGTGCTGACAAATGCATTTCCTATTTCAAGACAGGCCATCCTTTGTAATTTGTAATTTCCTGTGTACCCAGAACAGGTAGCTTCATCTCCCCCATGCTCACCTCCTGCCCTGCCCTGTTCAAGGAGCCTGCTTTGCTCAACTCCTCTAGGACAAGAACAATGCCCCACCCATTCGTCCATGCCTGCACCCTTCCATGCTTCCATCTGTCTGTTTATCCGTCCATCCACCAACCCTTTCTTTCTAGTAACTCATTCGGCATCCCCGAGTGCTCAAGACTCCCGCATCCTAAGACATTCCCTAGACCTGTCAGTCCACTGCCTCGGTTCCTCTCACGCCTACCCTGCTGTGGTCTGGATTCTTCCCCATCCACCAAGCCTACAGGCACTAAGGTCACTTCATTCCCAGATGACCAAATCCAAGCCCATGTCAATCACGGGATTGGTTTGCCATACTGACCACTTCTTTTTTCACTCTTGTTCTTGATCACCTTTTGGCCTGTTCTTTCTTTATTTCTTTGATTCTTCCTCCCTTGATGCCTTCCCCTTTACTATGGGGCTCTCCACAGCTCTATATTCGACCTTCACATTCAACACTCTCCCCCTCACCAACCCCCCAGTACCTCTGACTCTTAAATCTGAGGAAGGGGGCAGATCAGGTAGCAGCTGGCAATGAACAGAGCGCTACTCTGTGTCAGGCCTCATGCAGAGCGCTGGAGGTGAATTACTCATTAAATCCGTAAGTCCACGCTACCAGCAGGTAATGTTATTCCCATTTCTCAGCGCAAAAACTACACACCACGCTACCAGCAGGTAATGTTATTCCCATTTCTCAGCGCAAAAACTAAGCACACTGAAGTCAAGTAACTTATACACATAGCAAACAGGATCCCAGCCTTGAGTTCTGCTTCAAGCTTGCAATCTTTTGTTGTTGTGTTTTGTTTTTGAGAGGAAGAGAGAGAGAGAGAGAGAGAGAGCGAGAGAGAGAGAGATATTGATAGGCTGCCTCCTACATGCCTCCTACTGGGGATTGAGCCTGAAACCCAGGCATATGCCTTGGGAATCAAACCTACAACCTTTCAGTGCAGGGGATGACACCCAACCCACTGAACCACACAGGCCAGTGCGAGCTTGTGTTCTTAAATGCTGTGTTACACAGTCTCACTATTGTGGCTGTGAGCTCTACCTTGCCCAGATCCTCTCTGAGCCTGTGTGCCTATTCCCTGGCTGCCCGCTTCCTCAGAAAATCGCTCTCTCTCCCTCCCAGGCCCAGCAGGCCTCAATGGCTGACTGATGCAGGACTAGGAGAGCTGGGCACTTTGCCTCCAGGGAGGACCAACCCTGTGACACCATTTGTGCTCCAGAGCTCCGAGTGGGGTCAGGCTCCTCTGGAGCCGAGACCACATCCTTGCTCAGCTTCTCTCCCGTCTTCTCCTGCTTCCCTTTCCCCTGAGAACGGACCCCTGAGAAACTGCTTGCATAAGAAAGTACATCGTGAGCTCCAATTCTGGGGAACATGACCTAAGTCAGAGGAGTCCAAGCTCTAGAGCAACATACTGAACCACCAATGCACTAGTTGCACTGACTGCCCATAAGCACTGCAGACACACGCCCCACCTAAACTCACCCCTGCCTTCCCCCAGCCTGCTTCTCCTGCTCCCACACTTCCCACCTGCATTAACAGGACTGTCCTCCAGGGGCCAGCACGCCAACCTCCTATACCCTTTGCCCCCAGGATCCAGTCAGACCCCAACCTTTGCCCATCCTGATTAAACTTCCCTCAGAGCCGCCCGCCCACTGCCCTCCATTCAGCACCTCCCATCTCCCACCACCATCTCTCACAGTGACTCTGCAGCAACTTTCTGCTGTCCTGTCCTCTTGCCCTGCTCCGCAGCCAGTGGCATTTCTAGAATGCAAAACCTTCCACATCTATTGCCTTCAGAATCCTACAGTTCAGATTCCTCCCCATGCTCTCCAAGGCCCTTTGTGTGGCATAAATCCTTCCATCCATCCTCCATGGTCTCTCTCCTGACACTGTATTTTTTGTCTTCCAGCCCCAAATGTCCTAGGCCAGTGGTTGGCAAACCGCGGCTCTTTGGCCCCTTGAGTGTGGCTCTTCCACAAAATATCACCTGCGCACGTACAATGCAATTGAAACTCCGTGGCCTAGGCGCAGAAGTCGGTTTTCGGCCTGGGCGAATCTATTTTGAAGAAGTGGCGTTAGAAGAAGTGGGGGGTGGACATATAGGATGAACGAAAGGAGAGAGACGAAACAAGTATAGAAGACGAGTGTGGATGGGAGAGTTTGAAGGGGTCAACCTCGGCGAACGTACCTCAATCAGATTGAGGACGTTTTTAGCAAAGGCCAGCTTAGGAGTCCCCTAATTCAGTTAATAACAATGCACCTACCTATATAGCTTAAGTTTAAGAAATTTGGCTCTCAAAAGAAATTGCAATCGTTGTACTGTTGATATTTGGCCCTGTTGACTAATGAGTTTGCCGACCACTGGGCTAGGCCATTTCTCACCCCAGTGCTCTCATCCTTGACCACCCTGACTACTCAGCTAGCCACTGGCTTGTGCTTCCATATTGTGCCTCATCCCCTCCCTGTATACTCCAGGAGAGAGGGACTTTGTGTGCTGGCTGGCACTGTGTGTGTGTGTGTGTGTGTGTGTGAGAGAGAGAGAGAGAGAGAGAGAGAGAGAGAGAGAGAGAAAGAGAGAGAGAGAAAGAGAGAAAGAAAGAGAGGAGAAAACAGAATCACTGCCTCCAGGAAGTCCCTGCAACCGAAAGCCTCAGATCAGTCCTCTCTCTGAGCACCGCAGGCTGGAGGACTTCCCTGTTGTAACTCCCTGTAGTTGTGTCATGATGTGTAGCAACTGCCACTTACTCTTCTGACTCAGCTGCTGCACAGAACTGCGTTTTCGCCTTTTTAAGCTCTCAGCCCCAGCTCGGAGCTGGGCATCTAACAGGCCTCTTTGGTGGGTCATTCCCTATGTCAGAGCGGCCAGACTGTGGCGCCCAGTTGCTTGGCCAAATGCCAGCCTGGATGTTGCTATGGAGGTTATTCTGTGGATGTCATTTTAAGTAAAGCAGGTAACTCTCAGTGCTGTCGGGGGGCCTCGCCTCATCAGTGGAAGGGCTTAAGAGCAAACACTGGGCTTTGCCAGAAGAAGAATTCTGCCTTCAGACTGCAGCATAGAGAGCCTGCTTGGCTGTCCAGCCGGCTGGCTGGCCCTACAGATTTTGGACTCAAAATTGCCACATCAATCCTCACCTGAACTTCCAGCCTGTGGACCCGCCTTACCGATTTTGGACTTGCCAGTCCCACCATTCCGCGCACCAATTCCTTAAAATAAATCATGCCCATGTGCACATACTCACATCTTATTGGTTCTGTTTTCCTGGAGAAGCCCAGCTGATACAGCCTCCATCGATAAATGTACTTTAAACCTAATTCTTAAGGACAGACAGACAGACCTGGGGAGAGGACTTCTCAGAAGAAGGAACATTTGTACCTTTTGACCCAAAAGTCCAGATTTCCTCATCGTCGAAGTGAGTGTCCCCCGAGATGGAATGTTCCCCGGGGAAGAAGGCATGGGCGAGGGTCCCCCCCTGCCCGTCGAAAGGGTAACTGTCCTGGTGGTAGGCCCGGACAAAGTCGATGAGGATGTCAGCCTCCGGTGGGCCCTGAGAACGCACCTCCCGGAATTTGAGGCCTGACTCAATACCCCAGGCCGCCAAGGCATGGTGCATGAGCGTCCGCACAGTCTCCTGGCTCAGTGCAGAGCTCCGGGGGAAGGAGAGTACCCTGGGGAAAGAGGAGTGGAGGGTGAGGATAGCCTGGGACACAGAGACTAGGGCCCAGCAGGCCAGCCCCGGGTGGGGTAGGCACCAGGACCTACCTCCACGTCAGGGTCCGCTTCTTCCAAATAGTGCCGCTCAGGGCATAGCGCCGGCGCCGCCGCCTAACCAGCTCTGCCACCCCCAGCACGTCGGGCAGAGAGCAGCGGGGCTTGTGCATGGTGGCCATCGTCATCGGGTCTGTGCGACAGGTTGGGGGAGCGGGATCAGCAGAAGGACAACCTGCCCTACTCATGGTACCAGCTAACTGTCCACATGGGGAAACAGGTTCAGGGAGATGAAGAACTTTCCCCCGCTTGGATTTGAACCCAGACAGTCTGATTCTGTAAGCCAGCTCATCCACACCAGCACCTGGCCCTGGAGGGCGTGGCTGCCTCCAGGTGGTGCTCAGAGCCTCAGGCAGGGAGCTTCCCTGAACCTTGGCAACTGGGCTCAAGGAAGGAGCCCTGGGGGTGCCATGCAAACTCCTCTCTGAGGCTGGGAACCCTAGGAGGGTGCCCACACCCCACACCCCACACTCCACACCCCACACTAGAGCTTCCAAGACCCTATCGTGATAAAGTCCGGAGTCCCCATGCTGGTTGGGTCTCTGGTTTCCTGTGACTAACCACCCGCTCCTGGGTTAGAGCTGCCTGGAATCCCCTTTTCCAGCTCAGCTCAATTCCCAGCAGTCTCCTTCTCCTCACCAGAAGGTCAAACCTCACCTCGATGGTTGAGGTCACAATGTGTCATTGAGCCCATGTAGATGCCAAGCAGGGCAGGGGAAGACCCTGCCTTCCCTCGCAGCCAGCCAGGAACCCACCAGTTCTCTCTTCTTCCCCATTTAACCCAACAGATGAGCTGCTCAGCTCTACCTCCAAAGTGTGCACTCTGGCTTCAACCCCTTCTCATCACACCTCCCACCATCAGCCCTGGCCTGGACCTGCATGACCTCCTCGCTGGCCTCCGTGTTCCCCACCCACCACACTCCATCAGCAACCAAAGGAAATGTAAAACTACAAAACAGACCAAGTTGCCTTCCTCCGTCAAACCCTTCCGTGGTTTTTACTGTGCTTCCGAATCCAACCCAAACACCTTTCAAGCCTCCTCCCACCAGGCATTTGCTTAGCTCCTTACTCCTCTCTCATCACAGGTGCACAGCCTGTGCCTGCCACAGGGCCTTTGCACTGGCCTGGAACACTCTTCCCCCGCATCTTCCCGTGGCGGGCTCCTCCTCGTTGTGTCCTATGAGTTCTCTGTGTTATAGGAATTCCTCTCGACTCATAGGACACCTTTCAGAGGACCCTGGCCTGACCAGACCAGCCCCTCAATACCGTTAGCATTTTATTTTCTTCGAAACACCACTATCTGAAATGATCTTGCATATTTCTGTTTCTGATCTCTTAGCAAAGTATCTGTCTCTAGAAGTTTAGCTCTGAGAGCAGGGACTTATCTACTTTGTTCACTGCTGTAGGAGCGGAGCCTGAAATGGCCTCTCACGTAAGAGATTCTCGATACATACGTATTGAAGGAGGAATGCTTGGGAATTCCTTGGGTTAGGACCTGAGATCAGCATTGTCATAACCCCCATGATTCAGTGCGAGCCGAGGTTTAAGAACAGCTGGGTAACGGTCAGGCTGGGGACACCTACCCAGGAGGCCGGTCTCAGGCAGCCCAGCAAACCTCTGCATCACCTTGATGGCATCCCGGAGCTTTTCGGAGCTCCGCAGCTGGGCCTGGGCTGGGTCGGGCGGCGGCAGGTAGCCATAGCGGGTCAGCCAGTCCTGGGCGGGAGAAGTGAGCAGGTGAATCGGGAGGGCGGCAGCGATGGGACCTGCCTCCCCACCGCCTTCTGAAAGCCTCACCTCTCACCAGTTAGGAACCCAGGGCTCCCCTCTCTCGGGCCTGCCCTCCAGCCCTGGGTTTGCAGTCTTCATCTAGAGCCTAGTCCTGGTCCCCACCTCCCCGCCCCCAGTCCCATTCCAATCTTCAAATCCCGGGCCCAAACCTGACGTTTCCAACAATCCGGTTCCCAGCCCCCAGCCCCAGTCCGTCACTCCGTGGACGTTTGAATCAGCCCTCAGCCTGACCTAGGCGTCCAGCACCAGCTCCCCTCTGCCCGCGCCCCTGCAGATCCCCGAGGCCGGGGGACCCCACTCACCAAGCCCAGGCTCACGTCCTTCCAATCTTCAAATCCCGGGCCCAAACCTGACGTTTCCAACAATCCGGTTCCCAGCCCCCAGCCCCAGTCCGTCACTCCGTGGACGTTTGAATCAGCCCTCAGCCTGACCTAGGCGTCCAGCACCAGCTCCCCTCTGCCCGCGCCCCTGCAGATCCCCGAGGCCGGGGGACCCCACTCACCAAGCCCAGGCTCACGTCCC